TTTTTAAATTTCTGGATTCAAGGCCAGTGTTCCTTCCACACTTTGCTTCAGTATATTGATTCCTGCTTCCCTCTCCTCCTAAATTTGTTTCCCAAACTTTCCCAAGCTGATGCAATTTTGAAATATCCAAAAATTCTTTGTATCTTTTCTTCAAGAAGTCAGAGTTAATTCCCTTTAAATGTGGGTTGGGGCTCCTCCTAACTAATTGAATCAATAGGCACTGGGCTGGAGAGATGGCTCAGCAGTTAAGAGCATCTCTTAACTTGCTGCTCTTGCAGAGAACTGGGTTTGATTCTCAGCACCCACATGGCAACTCACAGCAGTCTGAAACTCCAGTTCCAGAGGCTCTAAATCCAATGTCCTCTTCTAATCTCTATGGAAACCAGGTACACACATAATGCACATACATACATATTTGCATATAGGCAAAACAGTTATACACATAAAATTAAAATAAATTAAGTCTTTAAAAAAAATAAGCACTGAGGTTTCTCCATCTCTGCTCCATATTACATCATGAGGGGGCTAGTTGAGGGACTGACAACAGACATGGGATAAATTTGGGAGTGGATCCTCTAGCCTAGCCAACAGTCTGACGGTAGCCTCAGGAGAGATTCTCCTGCATCTACCTCCTGAGTGGTAGAATTACAGGCATGGACTACCACAGCTGGTCTCAACCCATACCCTGGACAGCTCAAGCCATTTAAATTTTAGAGGTCAATGAAATGGCTCAGTGGGTAAAGGCATTTGCCACCAAGCCTGATGATCTGAGTTTGATTCCCCAGAATCCACATGGTGGAAGGAGAGAGCCAACTCCTACAAGTTGTCCTGTGACCTCCACATGTGTGCCATGGAACACGCATGCCTACACATACACACATAAACAGATGTAAAAAAAATAGAAAAAAAGTTTTAGTGGGTATGGGGAGAATATTCCTGTAATACCAGCAACTGGGAGGCTAAGAGAAGAGGATTTCGAGTTTGAGGTCAGCCTAGATTACAAAGTGAGACCCTTTCTCAAAATAAATAACTATTTCTTTTTCTCATATACTCAGCTGAGGTAGTAAAATGAGCCAGAGTGCCTCAGTTCAAATATCTGTGGTTGCCCCTTTTTAGCTGAGGTATATTCAATTCAGCAAGTACTTACCTTCGCTCCAACTCTGGCTTCCACATCCAATGATGCTATGGTAACCTCCTTCATGGAAGTGTGGACATTAAATCAGGGAGCAGACCTGTACGAATATCAGGCCCAAGTCAAGTATGGTGGCTCAATGCCTTTAAATTCTAGAACTCTGGAGGCAGAGGCAGGTGGATCTCTGTGAGTTCAAGGCAAGCCAGGGCCATGTGGTAAGACCTTGTCTCAAAAAACACAAATAAATAAAACAATATGTGACCCAATCCTGGGTACTTGGTGGGTACCCCCTAAGTCTGAATTCCCTCTGGTTCCCTAACTTCTTGATTCCTGGCTTCACTTGAATGATTCCAAGCCCCTGACCAGAGGCTAGAAGGAGGAGTCCCTTCAGGGACCTCATTTCCATTTCATGTACCAGAGGTGGGTATGCTGCTGGAAAAGGCCTTTGCAGAACAGAGGTTGGTTTGAGGTATCTGTGCTTTATCTTCATATTACATAAACCGCTATTCCATGGCTTTTCAAATTTCTATTCTTTTTTCACCCGCTTTGTTTCCCCTCATCTTCCTTTTTAAAAATATTTTTATTTTATGTGTACGAGTATATTGCCTGCATGTATGTGAGTGCGTCCATGTCATGCAATGCCTCAGAGGTCAGAAGAGGGCTTCAGATTCCCCTGATACTGGAGTTAAGGACTGTTCATAGCCGCCATGTGGGTGCTGGGAATCGAACCCACATACTCCGCAAGAGCAGTCAGTGCTCCGAACCTCTGAGCCATCTCTCCAGCCCCCCTCATCTTCCTTTTGCAACTTATTTTAAAGAAGGGGTCTCCTGTACCCCAGGATGGCTCAAATTCTTTGTAGCTAAGGATGAGGTTGAATTTTTGATCCTCATGCCTCCAATTCCTGAATGCTGGGATTACAATAGTCACATGCCAATATGCCCAGTTTTTGTAGTGCTAAGAAATCAAACCTAAGGCTTCACACATGCTAGGCAAGCACTGTTACCAACTGAACTACTTCCCCAGCCCTCCTTTTACAATTTTGCATTTTTTTCATAATTTATGAAAAACAACAGCCAGCATGTTCCAAGAACTTAGCAGCACAGTTCGAAGACTTACTCATCTCACAGCAGGCAGGTTACTATAGTTAGCCTCCTACAGGTAACAAACCAAGGCACAGGGGTTAAGTCAAGTGTCCAAGGTCACAAAGTGGCAGAAAGAAACTAATGAAACAGTTTGCAGGGTTAGCACTGCAATTATACAGGCTCTTCCAAGATTTTGTACAATCCTTAATTTCGTATTCATATTTTGTAATTATTTTAAAATAATTAACATTTTAAAATTTATTTTTATTTTATGTGTATGAGTGTTTTGCCTGCATGTATGTAAGTACACCCAGGGGTGCAATGGCCACGAATGTCAGAAGAGGGTGTCTGATCCCCTGGAAGTGGAGTTACAGACAGCTGTTGGCTGCTGGGAATCAAACCTGGGTCCTCTGCAAGAGCAGCCAGTGCTCTTAACCGCTGAGCCATCTTTCCAACCCTCAAAATCTTTAAAAGAGGGCAACAAAAACTGGATGTGGCTTCTGAGAGGTAACAGATGTCAGTTTTCTTGCAAGTATTTAAAAATGCATTTACATATGCAAACATATACACGCATCCAGCTTTTTTGGTATACGGTCAAGTCCTGACCGCTGTTCCATGTTTCCAAACGTTGCATCCTGTGCAGCACTGACAGGCGCATTTATTTACCCACTTTCCTTAAGGTGAGCTCTCCCTCCGGCCCTCCCTCTGGTGTCAGCACCTTTCCAGAAGGTTCCCTCCCGTTCCTCACGCTTTCTCCCTTGACCGTCTTCCCATTCTGGTTTCTCCTCTCACACCACCCCTTTCCCTGTATCCTCACTTTGTCCTTCCATTCCTTCCTGCCCTCCCCGGTTCTCCCTTCGTTCTGACACCTCAGATTCTCAATAGTCGGACCCGTTTCCCCAGCTCCCTGCCCCTCTGCCCGCTCCCGGCCTTTCTACTCGCCTTGAACTCGCAGTCCCGGCATCCTTCCAATGCCACCTCCCCCACTGCCACCCCTCCCCAGCCAGGAGGGAGCGCAGAGCCGGCGGGCTACGGCGCGAGCTGACAGCGTAATGAATGGCTTCAGCTGTAATTAGCGACCCCGCGGCTAATCACGATGTGCATTTACATTTTAAGTGCTGCAAAGGGAGCGGGGAAAGGCAGGGACGCGCGGGCGGGGAAGCGGGCCTTTTCTGTGTTCTCCCTCCTCGACTCGGAGTGATGTGAATGGGGGAGACGTCTATGGCAGAGGGCAGTGGTGCTGGGTGCTGGGTGGGGGGTGGCGGTGTCCTTGAGGCTAGCTTGGGGCAACGTACAATTACCCCATCCTTGCGGTACACAAAGCCGGTCGCTCCCAGGTCCTTCAGCCCTGCGTCTACATCCCCTCTGAGTGTTCAGCCCAGGCTTGCATTCTCCCAGGGACCGAGAGCTCGCTACTTTCCCAACCAGCCCATTCCGATGTAGCTTCTAGTCTTCCTGGGACTTTTTTTTCAGGCCTATCAGAAACCGCTGTCCTTTCAACTCCACCACAGCCCTGGCCTTTCGGGTACCAGCTCCCAGCGGTGCGCGCGAGCTGAGGTCTTTGTGTTTTCCCAAGGCTGTGCCTCGGGAACCTGCTCCTCCCTGTGGAGGCTGCAGAAGCGGGGTCCGGGCCAGACCCCAATTCCAAGACACTCGGAGGGCCCAGGGTACCAAGGTTCGAGGAGACTGGGGTCAGTCACTTACTTGGGTGAAAAAGTCCAGCTGCTGAGGTCACCCTCCAAGGATGGTAAGGAGATAAACCCCGGTTCTGAGCAGCCGGGCCGAGAGCTGTCAGAGAAGGGGTGAGAGAGGGGAGGGCCAGGCATCCCTACTAGCCTGAAGACTTGCTGTCCTGGCACCAGCGTTCTTAGTACTTTCGGAGTCACCTGCTCCAGCCTTCGGTGCTTCCGCCTTCGCTACACCGCAGTACCCTAACCAGGTCCCTGCGTTTTGTGAAAGCAGGGTGAAGGCTGAAGAGAAAGGTCCCAGGGCAGGTTTAGACCTGCTTATCAAACCTTCTCCCTCCCATCAGTCCTTCAGCCCCAGCCTCATCTCTTTCTACTGCCCCTCTCTCCTCACGGCAGACCCCAGGCCTCTCCCTAGGTCCTGCTGAGTTTTTTGATGGTACCCAGTAGTTCCATAATTCCCTCAAGGCTTCAACTCCACCCCCCTGCCTCCCATCTCTCTCCCCAAACCTGCCTTCACTCGGTCTCCTTTTACAAAAGGGACCCCCCGGGGGGTCTCTAGGGGCCAAGGCTGGCTGGCAAGGAATTCCACCTGTGAGGGAGCAAGGATCCACGTCGGGCTGGGGCAAAGCCAGGTGTAAGGCATGCAATTCAAATAAGGGACTTTCAGGCATGGATGGAGGAATTTAACGCTTGTAAGGGTCTCCTTGTTCTCTTCCAGATTCACTCTAGCCTGGCCGGCGCATCACTTCCTGCATCTCAGGAGTGTGTGGGGGCCTGGAGCCTCGAGGTCCTGTCAGGCGTGGAGAATGAAACCTCGGTCTTTGGCAGCCAGGCAAGGACCACGCCGGGGTGTAGCGGTCCCAGCCGAGGAGCCGCAGCCAGCGCCTCGCACACTCTGCTGACCGTGCACTGCCTGTCCTTGAGGCAAGACTACTTGGGGGTGGCGGGGGGAGCCTGGAGGATTTGGGGAAAGAGGTCCCAGCAAGCCGCTCGGAAACCTCCCTAGGAGGGGTCTAGGATGCCCTTCAGCCGGAACCCGGCAAGGCTCGAGCACAAGACTTGAAAAGGCGTTTGCACCCCAAGCATAGTTTTTATTTAGTTTGCTCCTGCATGAGGGCTGGTTCAGCGAGGACTGATGGTGAGTTTAGGGGAACTTCGCCTCCCAAATCACTCCCCTCCCACCACTCCACCCCCAGTAACTGAGCACCGGCTCTTGATCTGAAAGGCTAGGGAGGCTGGGACAGGGGCGGGTCGCGCAGGGTTGGGGCGGAGCCTGAGGAAGGGGCGTGGCCTCTCTGGCTCCCAGGCGGGGTTTCTGCTAAAGGCGCGGAGCACAAGGCGCCGAGGGCGCAGAGTAGAGCAGCACCCGTTCTGCTGAAGTCTGAGCCGAAGACTGCACATCCCCAGCCCTCCCTCCAGCTTCCTCGCTGTTCCAGTACCCTTACCCCTGCCCGGCCTCGCGTGGCGCGACCCGCAGCCATGCAGCCCCAGGGTTGAAGCGGCCCCATGGCAAAGCCAGTGGTCCAAGCGACGACGGCGCATGGAGAACTTCCGTAAGGTGCGCTCGGAGGAGGCGCCAGCCGGGGGCGGTGCCGAGGGGGGCATCCCGGGCTCTGGCCCCTTCGCGGATCTGGCGCCCGATGCTGTGCACATGCGGGTCAAGGAGGGCAGCAAGATCCGCAACCTGCTTGCCTTCGCCACCGCCAGCATGGCGCAGCCAGCCACGCGCGCCATCGTGTTCAGCGGCTGCGGCCGGGCCACCACCAAGACCGTCACGTGCGCCGAGATCCTCAAGCGCCGCCTGGCGGGCTTGCACCAGGTCACGCGGCTGCGCTACCGGAGCGTGCGGGAGGTGTGGCAGAGCCTCCCGCCCGGGCCCACGCGGGGTCAGACGCCTGGCGAGCCGGCCGCCAGTCTCAGTGTACTTAAGAATGTACCGAGCCTCGCCATCCTACTTTCAAAGGATGCGCTGGATCCGCGACAACTTGGCTACCAGCCTCCGAACCTCAGTCCTGGTCTTTCGACCCCGCCAACGGTGACGACGTCCAAGAGGAGCCTAGGGGAATCCGCAGCTGGAGAAGGCACTGCTAAGCGGTCTCATCCTGAGCCTGGGGCTGGGAACTAGGACCCGACTGCCTGAGAACACCGGACTCTGAGCCACCTAGACCGACTGGATCTTACATATCCCCACGCCACCACATTCACATGCCTCTTTTATGCCTGGGTCTTCAGGAGCCCACGTTCTTGGACACAGCTCTTGAGATGAGTGGCACAGACCATCTGAGATGAGTGGCGACAGGAATGGCAAGAGAGGATCCTGTAGAGTTCAAGGAAACTTCTTGGGATGTAGCCTGAAGACAGAACTCCGCCCTCACCTTTTATGGGCTATACTGGGATATTTTTCAGAGAGGGAATGGTGGACAGTGGGACTTGAGCCTTCTTGGGGACTCACAGAGGCTAAAGGCACCCGGCATTCATGAAGTTTGGCAGGCGAGGACTATTAGAATCACCCTTGCTGTTGACTGAGGGCAGGAACCATGGAACTGATTGCTTGAGGGTAGGGGCATCAGAAATATTGGAGCCCTGTTCTGCCCCTGGTCCTAGACAGTTTCTCTTTAACTTTCCTTCCTTTTAATATCCCCCTTTGCTTGGTGGCAGAGAGGGAGGGCGCAGAACAGAACTTTCCATGCCTCCTCCCCTGAGCCCTACCCCAGGAGTCTTGCTTCCAATAAAACAAACAGAAAATGGCTCTGTCCCCAGTTTTGCTTTGTTTTGTTTTTTGTTTTTTGTTTTTTGTTTTTTTTCCTTACCCATCCACCTGTGTAGAGACCACTCTGGCCTGGCAGCCTCCAGCCTTATTAGCCTCTGTCAAGGTCAGATACAGACTGGGCAGCTTCAAAATGGTGCAAGGGGCGTGCTGTCCACTCCCTTGCTTCTATCTCTCTTCCTCTGCCTTCCTTGCCTCTCTCTTCCTCTGGGCTCAGGGACTTGTGTGGAGGGAGAGGGTCTGTGTCCCTGTTGCATACCCACAAAGGGAAAGGAAACAGCGCTGTTGCTTTTCTGGGAGGGGAAGAAAGAAGAGCATTGATGAGCTGGAGGTGGGCATCGTGCCAAGGCGACAGACCCTGCTAAGTTTCCTAACCCTGCAGCCTCCTCCAATGGACAGCCTTACCCAGAAGGCAGGCACAGAGCCCCAGGGGTAGGATCTCCCCTTCACTGCCCTTTCTGCAAAAGGACAGCACACCCTTGGGAGAGGGGGAGGAGAGAGGCAGCACAAATCCACTGCTGGAAATTACTATTCAGCAGAGAAGCTGGGACTTGGGCTGTGAATCACTGCAGGCTCTCTGATAAGCTGCTGCCTCCAGCCCTGCACAGCTGTGTGTTGAGAGATAACGGCCTCAGATGCCTCTCTGCCTAAGTCCAAGTCAGCTGGGGGTGAGGGCAGGGGCATGCTGTGTGCTAGAAGAGGGGGGTATGCAGCATATAGTTCAGAGCAGACCCCTCCCCATGCCACTCAGCACCCTGGGAAAGGCGATGAGGGAGAAGATATTTGTAAGTCACTTTGCTGGCAGAACCTTGAAATAAATCCTGGTGATGAGGTCAGTTTCTGCAGCTAAAGAAGGGGCTCCTTGGAGAGGTCTCTTCTCTCCCTCTAATATCTCTGCCTGTGCTTTGGATCAGTGAGCCCTGTCATCCAGACTGTCATTGGTTGCCCCCTCCCTGAATTACCCTTGTTTTTTTAAAAAAAAATTTATTTTTATTTTATGTGTATGAGTGTATTGCCTGCATGTGAGTGCACTTGTGTCATACAATGCTGCGGAGGTCAGAATTTGGATTTCCCTGGAACTGGAGTTAAGGACGGTTCATAGCTGCCATATGGGTGCTGGGAATCAAACCCGGGTCCTCTGCAAGAGCAGTCAGTGTTCTTAACCACTGAGCCATCTCTCCAGCCCACCCTTGTTATTTTAGATGTCTTGCTATGTAGCTCAGGCTGGCCAGGAACTGATCCGCCTACCTTAGCCTCCCAAGTGCTGGGATTACAGGTGTATACCATATCTAGCTTGATTTCCTGTCCTTGATCTGTTTGCTAGTCCTAAAGAAGCATGGAAAAGAATAAACTGGGCTGGAAAAGGTAGCTCAGCTGGTAGAGTACTTAGCATAAAGTCCTGGGTTCCATCCCCAGCACCACATTAACGAGACATGGTGGTATGTCATACCAGAACACAGGAGATACAACAGGAGAATCACCTGAATGGAGGGTGTTGTGAAACGATGTCCTCTGAGCATAACAGCCATTACCATCTTCATCAGAAGCAGCCATGAACCAGGCATGGTGGCACACTTTGATCCCCGCACTCAGGAGGCAGGGACTGGTAGATCTCAGAGTTTGAGGCCAACCTGGTCTACAAAGGGAGTTCCAGGCCAACTAGGGCTACAAAGTGAGACCCTGTCTCAAAAACAAAACCAAAGAGAAGAAGCTCATGAGAGACCCTCAACACAACAGCCCCATTGGGAGCATCCTGGGTCCAAGCAGCCTGGTGCTTGCCTCCACTTGCCTGTTGATACTTAGGTCATAAGATCAAAATCCATTTGGGACTCGATCTCTGTGAGATGGAGGGCAGCCCGTTCTACATAGCAAGTTTCAGGCCAGCTAGGGCTACAGGAAGACCCTGTCACAAAAAAAAAAAAAATATGCCAGGCGTGGTGGCGCACACCTGTAGTCCCAGCACTTGGGAGGCAGAGGCAGGCAGATCTCTTGAGTTTGAGGCCAACCTGGTCTACATAGTTCCAGGTCAGCTGGGGCTACAGGGAGACCCTGTCTCAAAAAGACCAAAAAAAAATTCATTTGAGAACATAAAACTATATAATTCATAGTCAGATGGGTGATTTCTAGCTAGGCTTTCATTTACTCAATACAATTTCATTGTCTTGTGTCAGCTTCCACTCAGGCACAGGGTGGAGCTAGAGGCTAGAATCACAGAACAATCAGCCATTAATTCTACCCCCCCAATCCAATGGAGAGAAAGAAAAATAAATTTTCACTAATCTTGGTTATACACACCTATAATGCCAGCTCTCCAGAGACAGAGGCAGGAGTATGCAAGCTAGCCTGAGCTACATGGTGACTCTGAGACCAGCATGTGCTACATAGCGGAACACGCAAAAAGGGGTCAATGGAAATTTTTTATTTTTATTTTATGTGTATAAGTGTTTTGCATACATATGTGTAAGTGTACCATGTTCATGCTTAATGCCGTTGGATATCAGAAGAGGGCATCAGATCCCCTGGAGCTAGAGATAGGGATGGGTGTTAGCCACCATGTAGGTGCTGGGAACTGAACCCCAGTCCTCTAGAAGAGCAGTAAGTCCTCTTAACCACTAAGCCATCTTTCCAACCCTTAAAATGTTTTTTTTTTTTGTTTGTCTGCTTGCTTTTTTAGTTTTTTGAGATAGGGTCTCCCTGTAGCCTCAGCTGTGTTGGAATTCGATCTGGAGACCAGGCTGGCCTCCATCTCACTGAGATTCACCTGCCTCTGGTCTCCTGTGTGCTGGGATTAAAAGCACAAGCCACTATGCCCAGCCTTAAAAAAAAATTTTTTTTTTTGTCTTTTTGAGACAGGGGTCTCCCTGTAGCCCCAGCTGGCCTGGAACTCACTGTGTAGACCAGGCTGGCCTTGTTTGTACTCACAGAAATCCTCCTGCCTCTGCCTCCTGAGTGCTGGGACTAAAGGTATCCACCTGGTTTAAAATGTTTTTTAAAGTGAAAAAGTAGGACTAGAGAGAAGACTCAGCAGCTAAGAGCACTTGCCATTCTTGCAGAGGACCCAGGTTCAGTTCCCAGTGCCCACATGGCTGCTCACAACTGTGTGTAACCCTGATTCCAGGGGATCTGATGCCCTCCTCTGACCTCCTTGGGCACCAAGTATCCACATATCAAAACAGTCATACATATTAAATAAATAAATACCCTTTAAAAAAAAAAAAACTTTAAACAAATGCAAAAGTAGCCCGGCATGGTGACTCACACCTTTAATCCTAGCACTCTGGAGACAAAGGCAGGTGGATATTGATGGAACTCTGAGGAGCATTTAATCCACCAAGCAGTGCTGATGGAGCTGATTACTCAAGGGTCAGGAGGTAGTCAGCTAAAACAGGAATTTAAACAGAGCATGGAGAGATGCTACTGCCTATGCTGTGTGTCTGAAGGGTAGAGTGTGGTTGGCAGGATATTAGAGAGGTAGGTGGGACAGGAGTAGCAGCCAACACCCAGACCACAGGGAAGTTGAAGTGCAAGGGGGCAGTAGAAGAGAGGGCAGTAGAAGCCAGAGACTTCCCTAGACACTTCGTGCTCTGATTGGTATTTGGGAAGCTCCCTCTGATACCTGTGTAGGTAGGTATCGGAGCAGCTGGAGCTTGAAGGCCACAGCGGGATGAGCACTGAAACTGTGGTCACGCAGATAGAGATGGGACATATTTGAGAGTTACTGAGGATAAGTAGTCTCTCACTACCTCCTGCCATTCTAGCCAGGAAAAGGAAGGGTTTCTAAGTCTTCACCCTAGCTTGGCCAGGACCCGGCCTCCTTTTGTAGCATTCCAGGGGACACACTGTAGAAGGACTGAACAGTGAAGAGGGGTTTTGCATAACTCTCAGGACCCTGCCAAGGTAAATTCACTGCCTAGGTAGGAAAGAGGCCAAACACACACACCCTTCAATCTTTGCCCTTCATCTCCTAACCTCATTAGTTGGCCAGTTTTTGTCATTATTCTGATCACTAGGGGCACTGAAGTCCCTTTATTTCACTTAGGTGTCAGAACACTTACAGGTGTTAAGAAGTAATTGAAGAAAGTGGGAGGACAGAGAGGGGAGTAAAATTCAGCCAAAGGATTGACTCTCAGGGCACAGTTTGTAACTCATGATTGTGATCTTTTAACTAGCCTGACAGTTAAAAGCAGAGGCCTATGGTTGAATAGATCCCATCTGCTTTGCTCCCTGTCTGGCCCCTGGTACATAAGAAGCCATTAGAGTTGTTGATTGAATGGATAAGAAATCGCTGAGCCAGTTTCTCAACTGTCCAGTCCCATACACAGTGATCAAAGCTGCCCCTGGCCCTACTACAGTTGCCTTGTCCCATCTGGACCCTTGTGTACCCTGCCCAAATAGGGTCACCATGACAGTTGCATGTATATATCCAACTTGAGGATTCCAGGGTTGTTTCTGACATTTGATTATTATAGGTGTGTGGTTAGACTTGTGTCCCTCCGAAGACATGTTAAATGCCTAACCTGAAATACCTGTGTGACCTAATCTGGAAATTCAGTGTTTTCGTATTAAGATGTAAATTAAAGACTGCAAGATGGCTCATCTGGTAAAGGCACTTGATGCCAAGTCTTACTGCGTGAGTTTGAATCCTGGGACTCATATGGTGGAAGGAGAAAATCAACACCTACAAATTGTCCTCTGACACCTTCTGCCTTCTGCCCCCGGAATAAATAAATGTAATAAAATTTCCTTTTTTTTTGGTCTTTTTGAGACAGGGTCTCCCTGTAGCCTTGAACTCACAGAGATTTGCCTGCCTTTGCCTCCCAAGTACTGAAATTAAAGCTGTGCACCACCACACCCAGCTTGTAATAAATTTTTAAAAAATATTTTACTTATTTTTATTTTGTGTGTATGAGTGTGCATGTATGTGAGTGCACCCATGTCATGCAATGCCGTGGAGGTCAGAGGAGGGCGTTGGATTCCCCT